CCCACCTCGAACTGATCTTTATTTTATTCTCAAGAATCCAGGGCTGCTAACATTTTTAATTCCAGCACCTGTTAAGTACTTGTATAAACTTAATTCTCCAGCTTTAAGGAGGGCAAAAAAATCTTTTCACTTAGTGCTGCATGGATCATCCTTGGGAGACACGTATATGGCAGGGAATCATCTACACACACTAGTGCTATTTCTTCCTGCCAAACACCGGCATGAATGACATTTGAGTGTAAAAAGTCAGAAAAACAACACAGAGATGAAGGAAGTATGGTGGGAGATAAATGCCAGAATGCCCGAGCAGAGGGTGGAAAGTTTAGGCAGAGAAGGTACAAACTGTTGGCCTGTGTTATGCATTTCAAGGAGCCGTCTTGTCTCTCTTTTTGCCAGGGACATCTATAGGGGCAGTCACAGTCCAGGTCCTCTGCCACCATGCTGTCTCACAGCTTACCAACCAAGGAGCCCTACCAAGTACCACCTGCACACCCAGCCCTTTACCTGCCTACAACTGCCTCAGCAGAACAGGCCACACACAATCACAGGCTGAGATATCATATAGCTTTGTAACTCCATATAACCTCGTATATTTATTTTGGGATAATATAGGGCAATTATACACTGATCATCACTACCAATGCAGATGGCACTTCTAATATCTGAAGCCAGTATAAGCCATATTCCTGTTTTTAAACAGCCATTCCTGACCTCAGGCTACTAGGATTGCCATTTTAAGTGGCAAGTGGCATTTTCTACATCCGCTGATGCAATGCTTATAATATGCGGTTCAGAAAATAAAAACCTGAAACTGAACATGACCTGAGTTTTAGACTTTGCACAGAACCCAAAAAGTTAAGCTAAAGAGTGACTGAGTTACGTGGAAAGGATTTTATGGACACAAATGTTTGCCATTAAAAAAAATTCAACGAAAACAAATTTTGTTTGCATGTAAACATTCCCCTGCTGCCCTGGAAATACTAACACAGCAGCACAGCAGTGAGACATTGGGAGGAAGAAAGCATTCTTAACAGTAAAGAAAGAGCAACAACCACCAAAAAAGTTAAAAGTACTAGAAATATTTCAAGTTTACAAATAAGTAAGACATGGTAAACATGTTCCTGCTTTGTAAATCTTGGTTGCCATTCGGCTGATTGCCCAGTAAACTGCCTAACTGCAAAGATGTCAGCTGGTTTTTATGAGAATTTCCAAGGGGAAGAAAACCCACAAAAACAACCCCCAAAACAACAAAAAACCCACACACTCATGCACACACAAAAGAGTGCTGGACCCAGAAGATTATATGGATAAACATTTATGTGCTGTATCAGGCTCACTAATGCACACTGAACTTCATGATAGTGTAACAGTAAAACCTGAGACCCAAACTAGAGGAGAAAGTAAGATCTAGCTTTAGCATTTCTCTAGCCGAGTTTTCAGGGACTCTCTCTTTGTAGAAGACTTTCTCTTTGTAGTAAGAACTGCCAAAAACACTCCCATAGACATTATCAATTGTTGCAGTTCCTATTAAGCATATGACCTAAAAAAAAAAATAGAGTTGGATAACTTCACTAGGCAACATTTCCACAAACATCTAGGTTGTTAGCACTGACACACATCCATCCCCTCAATGGCTGCAACAATCTCCAGGCTTCTGGTTTTATCATGAGAGTGGGCAAAAAGACCAGCTTCCAACTCCCCCAGCTTCTCAAAAACACAAGAAACCTTTCAAGCAGCTGCATGCACTCCATCCAGCCATGCTTAGACACATTCTATATTTCTTCATGCTAGGCCATACCAGCTTGGCAAAACTACCTACATGGGTGCACATGCAGACACTGCCTGATCCCACAGCTGGCCCTCAGGACACGCTTGCTGTATTCACCAGATTTTTCATAAAGAAGGAAAAAAGTTGGTGAGATGATGGGAGAAAGATGGAAAAGCAATGGTTTAAGCTTAAATTGGAAGGCACATTGAATAACTGATAGGATCTCATCAGAAGTAATACTTTTGCTCAACTGCAGATGTGAAAGGCTACCCCACATGCAATGCAATGTTCTGCTGTCATCTTAGCTTTAAAAGACACATCATTATACTAGTAAGGCCAGAAGAGTAGTAACACCATCTCACATGCTCCAAATATCTCAAGCCTAACTGCTGCACACAGGTGGAAGTTAGAAGTCCCATTTATTTGACTCTACTTTTGCAAAGCTTGACTCTAAACTCCCCAGCCATGTCAGCTTGATCAAAGTCTTATATATTTTAGTCTCATCCCCAAGTTGCAACACATTTTGTGCTGTCAGAGTCACATGGTGCTGGTTTTAGTTTGTTCTTTGTAATAACAATGCATATTGACCTAGCACATGAAAAAGGACATCTGTGAAAAAAACAACCTTGTCTTGCTAGAAATCCCAAAAAATAAACTTATCTGAAGTTACCCCCCACCAGTACATGCCACTAGATTCTAGTCATCTGACAAAACTATTATTCCATTAGATGCTGGTCTTCCCAAACAAATCAATTTCCCCACACATATTACAAGTATTCTCAACTGGAAACTCCATCAGTCTTGGTGAAAAGCTTTGCTGCAACTTTGTACAAATGCTCAAGATTTTTGAGAAAAGAGTAAGAAATTGCAGCAACACTGAGAAGAGGACATCCCCCCTTATGTAATAAGACTTACAGAAATAGTATGAACAAAAAATAACTTCTGCATATCATTGATTTCCACTGCAGATCACAGTAACAGAATTATGGTTCATTTCAATGTTAAGCCTCTCACCAACAGTGTGCCCTGTCTTCCCACATCAGTTAGTTAAAGGGTTATTCCCAACATCTGCTTTCAGGCAGCTGGCATCTTTGGCATCTCTGTGCTGTCTGCCACACCAAGGAAATGACAGCAAGCTTAGCTTATAATCACTGAAAGAAATCTACCCATAAATCAGCGACTGAGAATACGCAATTCTGCACCACCCTTTCAACACAGCCAGCATGCTGACTCCAGGACATTACAAGCTGTACAGGTAAGATTCACCTAGTGTCAGTGACATACACAAATCCACACAGTAAACAACTGTTGGAATCTGAAGAAACCCATTAAGTCCAAAATTTTTAATGAGACACTAATGGACAAGGAAATTTCACAGAGGTTACAGCACAGCGATGAGGGGGAAAGCACATAAGGATGCACAAGTACCACAATGAAATTACTGGGTGGCTCAAAGACAGTGATGAAGGTCAAATTTATGAAGAAAAAAAAAAGGGGGGGGAGGGGGAAACCCCACATGTCTAAAACACACCACTGCTAAGAATTTGAAAGGCAAGTTTCTTTATGAAAGCAGGCAGCAATTTTAAAGCAGCCACTGACACTGGAGAGCAAGGCAGAGCCCTGGCAATTGTCTATGGCAGACAGGGTGGTCCAACCCAGCACCAGTAGAAACCAGGAAACTGGGAGGTGACAGAACACCAGGAAGGGCACCAGACTGCACGAAGACTGGAGAGAGTAACAAACAAACCCAACAAATTCTTGGCCGAAGGACTCAGCAAAGAACATTGGTAAGTGTGTCAGACTCCAGCTGGGCATGCTGCTCCCAGACAGGACAAGAAAATCAAAACGGTTGCTGCTTTGCTGCTCTGTGTCAGTAGGTTAAGACCCAAACTTGTGCAATTCATCAGTGGGACTGAGGAGGCCAACGTCCGCTCATCCTTCCTTGCTCCACACCTCCCCTTTCCCATATCTCCCCCAAATCCTGCCACTATTACAGCACTTCCTCAGGAGATGCCTGCAGTGGTTCACGTGTAGCAACGATGGTGAAGAGACGCAGCACAGACCAGCAAGTAACGGAGCTCTGATTTCCTGAGAAAACAGGATGAGGGAAAAATGACACGAGTAATCCAATTATTGAGCTTAAGCACCTTCTCACAAATGAAAGGTATTTTTATAACTTATAACTACATCTGGAAAAGTGTTCTACATTCTACTGTATTGAGTGCAGATGTCTTGGCATTCACGGTATCAGAGTCCCAGTTTGGAGGCCATTAAAATACTGGTATTTCAGTACAGCGGCTATTTCATTTTCAGACAGATCAAGGCCTGACACCTATCATTGTTTCAGCAACTGGCAAAGATAAATAAGCTACGACAACTATATTTACAACATTATCAAGCCTTTACACAAAATACTGAAAGCAAATTTCAAAGGCCGACATGTTTTCTGTTGATAGTTACGCTTTGGTTATGCTTTCATAACTGAAAAACAGAAATTTTGTGAAAAGTGATTATAAAAAGAGGAAGTGCAATATAAGAACAAGAGACAAAAAAAGGCTAAGATTAAGAACAACATTTATATATAAAAATTTATTTAGGTGAAGTCACAAACAGTTTAATATCAATTTACAAACACTTCATGTTATGCATATTATTGAAACTATCAAGAAAGGTAAAGGAGAGCAGATAAAGGCAGCTTTTTCCTGAAACAACTAAAGGCATACCCTTACCATCATGCGCGTTACTGGATCATAGTATTACCTTGATCATACTCCCTAATGTGCAAGGGAAAAGGAAAAGAAAACAAAATACTGAGATGTAGAATGATTAAACTGTGAACCACTGAATAAGATTTTCATGAACACCAGACAACAAAGGTCTAGTCTGATGCTCAGGATCCCAAGAATTCTACGAGAATTCAAAATAGAATAATAATTTAGGTCAATTATTGTATTTGATCAATAATTCTGTAATGCACAGTTAGACATAACTGATTTCTGGCAATGACAGCAATTGTTAATGCGTTTTTCAGAGAAAAATGCAGGGGCGATACTGAGCCTCACAGAGTAATTCTGTTGACAACCTGAGTTATTATAGCAAGTGTATGATACTGTTTCAAGTCAAATATACATTTATGTTGCAAGTATTCTCAACGAAATGCTAAAAGTAACAGCTGTAACAAGACAAGTTATGATTTATTTTTTTCAAAACAAATATAGTACATAGGCTTTTGAAGTGTCCAGTTGTGATCTGCAAAGATCCAGGATTGCACACAGGTTTGCTCAAATGAGAAGGGTTAATCTGCACATTAAACTGGCTTATACTTTCAAAGTAGTATTTTAGGGCAGGGTTCTCCTCCGGGAGACTGTTCCTGACCTCATTCAACCAATGTTCAATTTATTCACCTTCCTGAATCTTTGCCCTCTTTGGATAGTCTGTGACAAGTGCTGCGCTGCAGGAATTCCTGTTTTCCAGCAAACTGGCTTGCTCTGCAGGTTTGTAGTCCATTGTTACAATTGCTGATTGGGTAAAATGAATTTCCTACGTCTTCTCTAGCACAGCTTGCAACGCAACAGAAGCAGAGGTAAAAGAATGCACTAGAATACCAGAGCTCCACTTAAACACCAACGGAGTCAGGCTGTTGGCACCAATAAGAAATTCTGTATTTAACAAATCTGCAAATATTTAAAATCCAAAGTTAGTCAGTTTTATATTTAAACTCACCCACTTAGTCTGACTGCCATCCCAACAGGCCTTCTGTTTTCATGGAGTCTGGAAAAAAATTGAGAATTGTTAATGCAAACATAAATTTGCATGAATCAATCTCAGCTACCTTACATACGTGCCAACTATTGCACTCAAACTAAAACTAGGGTTTCTCACTTTGAACTTTCTGTGTAAAACAAAATTACAGCTCTTCATTTGTGCCTCAGAAGGGACAGCTAGCTTTACACACCACACTTTGTTTTCCTTGACTTTGTTTTTACTGGTTAACCTTCTGTGGAACTGCAGAACCAGAGATACAGGCACTACATCAAGATGAAATTTAAGATGACTTCAACTGAAAGGGGAAATAAGATCCAGTCAGGCTGCCCTGACTATGCTATCCCTTGAAATTATGAAAGCAAAATCAGTTGAAACAAAAAATCTGTAAGAAAAGGTCTTTGTAAAACACACCCTTTGCCTCTTGACAGCACGAATGTGGAAAGGCTTAGGTTCTGGCCAAAGCTGTAAGCCCACAAAAAGCTACTCTCTCCCATTTCAATTCTCTGATTCTTTTGCCCAATTGTGAAGTCACATCTTACTTCTCTGAAGTAGTTTTACACAACATAAGTAGAGCTTGCAAGGAGCCAGGGAGGTGCGGGGAAAACCCACAGGTCACCTCCAAGAGAGCATTTCTTTGCTGCTGCCTTGCTAATGATAAACTCATTATTTATTCTAGGACTTATCTGCATCATCAACCATTATTCTCAAACCATCGTTTCAGTTAAGGACTTTTTTCTCTTTTAAACAGTTATAAGAGACTATGTGCTACTAATTAAAAAACTGCTGTAACAGTAGAAAGGCGATTGAACCCACACTGAAAAATTGCACAACTTTTACTTTTGCTTTTCATTGTGCTGCTAAAGCACTACCATTTTCACAAACATTAAATTTTTACTATTTTGTAAACTATTTAATTAAAATAAACATGTTTAATTTTTCTTTACACAACTTCTGGTTGCTTCTTCCAGATAAGGGGAAGAATAAAAAAAAAATTATCAATGCCACTGCTAAAAATCAACGCAATTCCACGAAACCAAAGGGGATCAAGACCTCTGGTGCCTCAGCAGACAACAGTGCAAAGCTCTGCACTGACAGACCGGCTACTGCGGAAGAAGATACGAGTCTGGTTAATGTGACAAGCTGAAGATCCAGTCTCGGGTGAGATGAAAGCTATGAGCCATTGCCCATCTGGTGCTCACATAAGATCCGTAGCAAAATAAGAACTGAGCCATTGTTTGTGAGAACGGAGAAATCTAAACAAAGATATCAGAACAAGTTGCATAAATCTAGAGCATTAACCACAGAAGGCATGAAGGCTACAAGGCCTGCACTGGGACTTGGTACACTATCCACTGTGCGGTGTTTACTCCCTTTCTTCACTGCAAGTCAGCCCAGTGAAGTCACTTCTGATAGGTGCCCAAGTCAGAATTTGGTTTGACACACCAAACGCTTGCAGATGCCCTGAAAAGGGGTCCTCCCTTTCCAGATCAGGCTAACAGAATCCAACAATTTAGCCACTCCTCTGTGCTGACAATCCCTAGGCAGCACAGCATCTGGTGAGCTAGCAAAAACCCTTCAGGAATGCAAGGTTCTTCCTACGATCATAAAAAAATTGCTTAGAAATGAATACAGCTAACATAAAATTTCCCAACCATCATTCAGCTGGCATGAAAATCAACGTTTAATGTTCAGCATTTTCTGTGCTAGGGCTCTGACAAACTACAGCCACGGGTGTAAGAGAAGCAGCACAACCCCTAATATAAGCAGGCAGCCCTTTGTGCAGGCGGAGCTCGCTGTCACAGCTCAGGCGCTGGAGAGGGTACATGTGCCCATCTACATTAGGGGTTTTGCCAGTTCAGTGACACTCAATGCCTGTAATGAAAGCAAATCCTTAACATACAAAAAAATCTCCCCTACTTCTCCGAATCACACCCACCATCCCCCCCCACAAAACAGGCCAGAATTTGTGGATTAAAACTCCAGAGTCCCAAACTAGTTTAAATCTCCAAATGGCACTGAATTCGCAAACTGTGGCCATTCATATTGAAGTTTATCTTTAATCACATCCATTTTTTTTGGCCTCCCACACAGCGTGGATCTAACACATGCTCCCATAGTAACTGCAGAGTCTGAACTCTTTGTCTTACATGTAGGCATCTGTATCGCTCTGAAAGTTAATTTTTTAAAGACAACTCAGGCAAAAATAACACACCATTCTTCTTACATCTTAAGGAAAATGCAATTATATACCAGGAAAGGGAACGAGTGGGGTTCCTAATTTCTGGTGGCCAGAGCAATAAATGCTACAACCAATTATTTGCTGAGAGCATGCTTTTCTCTCCAGAAATGCCCACACCTCCCACTGTGGCCAGCTGGACTCCTGAGTGGCCCCATGGCTCAGCAGCCAACACCGTGGCCCTACGATTAGCTCGTGGGGAGCTACTGAACAACTTGAGGGCACCCAACTGCCCCCTTCTCTCCTTCCTCTTCAAGGGGGCACTGCACTCGGCCAGGGGAGCAGGGAAACGCGCCTCCACAGGCGCCAGCCCGTCACACCTGGCTTTTCTCCTCCTGCTTGGGGCTCTGGGATGGTGCTTGAGGCGGTGGCGGTGCCGGCGAGGCCTGCGTCTCGACCTCAACACGTGAGCGCCTGGTGACGACCGCCTTGAGGGGTGCCATCCACTTCATCCAGAGGTCAAGGTCGACGTCACCCCAGGGCAGCGAGGGGTCCTTGGCCGCCCGCCGCCGAAAGTCCTCGTCGTAGCTCATCCACGAGGTGCCCCCGTAAGTGGCGTGCAGCTTGCGGATAGTGTCCAGGTACTTGAACATGGCTCCGCAGCGCGCCGGGTGTTTCTCGCACAGCACGCTGGCGTACACCAGGAAGGCCGAGACCCACTGGTCCAACGTGTCCCCCG